GCTCAATTTTATGGGAAGACTTTTTAGGCCTGGATTAGGTCAAGACTGTTGACATCACCCCAGCAGACAGTGCCCAAAGCTGGACGGGTCTGGTGCAGCAGCATCTCTGTTTTTGTGACTTCCAGAGGCACAGGGAGATGAGATGGGATGCACTGAGAGAAAATGTATTAAAAATCATCCCAGCTTTTTTCCCAGGCTTTTCTCAGACTCATGAGTCCTTGTACCTTGCTCTGCCCTGACACCTGCCTAAAACAAACATTTCTAGGTGATTGTACTTGAAACCCACTTTTTTTTCAGTTTTCTGATGTGACCTGGGTGTGAGGTCATGGCTTTAGTGGTTCCACAGGGGATCCCATTAGCCTCAGGAAAGCCAGCTGGGAAGCTGTGGGTCACCTCAAGACCAATTCTCCTCTCCCAGAAGGATTGAGGAGGCCCAAAATGTGATTCCTCCCAGTCCCAGGCCCGAGCTCCTGGCAGGTGGAAGCAGTCCATGTGTCCAGGAATTGGAGCTGGCAGGTGAAACCTGCACTTCTGCTCCAGCTTTTCAGCCTGGCCTTTGCATTTCAGCTCTAATTAGATTTGATGTGCTCAGTACTTTCCTCCAGGTCAGATCTGCTTAACTTCCAGTGCTTAATTGCACCAGGAACACTCAAAATCCCGGGCTGGGCAGCCTTGTTCCATTCATCAACCCCTTGGGCTCGCTGGGATAATGCAATTGTTTAGGAAATTCACCTAAGCTGGAGGCTCTGATCTGCTCCTCTAACGAGATTTGCCCAGGGAACAGAACTAAAGGGGGTTTAGAGTGAAGCCTCTCGTGGGGAGAGCTCTCCAGGGGCATTCTGTGCTTCCAGCCTCCGGTTCCGCGTGGGCTCCGGCAAGGAGGGGACCATGGTGTTCACTGTGGGGCCAGAGCCCCAGGTCTTCAAGGACAAAACTGGACAGCTCACAGTGGTAAGGGCTCAGCTGCTTCTTCCTTTAAATCTCCACCTGCAGAGAGCACAGACCCCCCCCTTCTTGGGAGTCCAGGAAGGACTGAGTGACCCCCCCCCGCTCAGTGTCACCTGCACGAGCTCCAGGCATTGTGCAGGAATTGGCCCAGGGATGGGGCAGCAAGGCTGGTTCCTGGTGTGGGCACTTGGAGAACTTAGTCTGACCCAAATTCAATGTGCACCAGCAAAAATGAGGCCTCGGGAGATGTTTTCCACCTCTTGTTGCCTCCCTCAAGCAAGTTATGCCTGCAATGGGTTGGGGGATGGAGGGAAGGCACTTCTTGTCACCCAAGCAGGTCCTTTGAGGAGCTGACAGCTCCAAGGAAGAATTCCAGGTGGAGTTTTCCACCCTGCAGAGGAGATGGAGGGAATTGTCTCTATGTACCAATGGGCAAATAGAAACTCCAACCATCACCTCTCTTCCCAAATTTCTGATTTAATGGCTCCTTCTTCTTCTCCTCCCAGGTGTCAACCCCAAGAAAGTCTTGATGAGAACCAGTTCCTGTTCCCTTGGCTGGGAGCAGAAAGGAGCCTGCAGGATGAGACCAGCCCTCACATCTCCCCTGGAATCTCTGATGCCACAGGGCTGCTGTGATTTGAGAGTTTGTTTGCATCTTTTAGGCTCTTTTTTTTTTTATAGCTTAAAACTATTCAACTCTAGCTAAATAAAATCCCTGATGTTGCTGTAAGGTTCCCAGAAGGAGACGCTCGTTACATGGTCACAGGGACATTTATCCCCAGAGTTCCAAGGTAAAATCTCCATCTCTGAGAGGTCAGGAGGGATTAGGACAGAAGCCAAAAAGGCTTCTCTAGCTGTACTTGGGAGTCACTACTCAGGAGCACTGCAAGAAGTGCACAGCAGTTAACCCTGGTCTAAAAACAACTTTTCTCAAGGCAGACTGACCAGAGAATCCCAACAGCCGGGGCCTCTCCCACAGGGAGGGCTGGGAGGTCAAACTGACATTAATTAGGATGGAGATCTGATATTTCATCCCAAAAGTTCCTCCAGCCACACAGCCCATGAGAACATCGAGCTCCAAGCAAGTAATAAAGTGACTCACATGTAAATATGAAATATCTTCTAATTTATTGTGTTATATTAAAAAAAAAAAACAAAACAAACAAAAATACATATTGCAAACATCAACCATACACTGAAATCCAGATGAAGCTTGTTCTGTGCAGAAGTCTGGACAGGTGGGAATGATTGTACAGAACAGGAATTTGCTGTTGTCCATGAAACAATTCCACTAAGACTGAAAGGTTTTGCTCTAAGGTAGGAGGGGAGCTTGGAGCCTTGCCCAGGTGCTGTGGCTCAGGGGATCCAAACCTGCCTTGGGGAAGTGCAGGAGCAGCTGCTTTGGTGCTACAGGGAGAGAGGTGGGAAAGGGGCACAAGGACTGGTCCCTGTCCCCTCCTCATGCAGCCCCACCCAGGTCAGGAGCTGGGAGGGGACAAAATCCCTTCCCCAAGGGGACTTTCCTCAGCTGCTCTGGGCTGTGCTGGCACTGCTGGTGCTGGAGAAGGGAAGCAGCCAGCTCTGCTCTCCCTGGCACTGGGAGGCAGGGAAGGATAATCTGAAGAGCTGCTTGTGCCCAGGACACCTGCCCTGAGCCCCAGCTGCACCTGAGAGCTCAGAGTAAAACCACTTAGAGTAACGAGGCTCAGGACTGAGAGCATTTGTGCAAGGGCATGACCAAGGTGTGCCCAGAGCAAGGACAGGGACAGCAGGTAAAGGACAGTCCCCAGGACAGCACACCTTGGCTGCACGACTCGAGCACCCCGAGGGGGAGCTCAGGAGTGAGTTAAGGCAGAGTCTGCCCACAAACACAGTAACAAAACTGAAATTGAAACTTTAACTCTCCTGGAGTGACTTTGCTAAACCAACAGCTCTACAAAGCACTGTACAAAGATTAAAAACAGCCCTCCCCTGGTTTTTAAGAACTTAGTTTGCATAACCTGGAAGGGAAAAGCCTGAAGCCAGTTAAGGATCTATTTACAGAGAAGTTAATCACGTAGCTGTGACCTGTCAGGTGCTTAGTTCTGGTGTCACCTCCTGGCGCTGAAGCTGCTCTGCCCCACAGGATTTGGTCAGCACAGCCAGGGATGAGCTGCCCTGAGCCTGCTCCCAGCTGTAGTGAGCAGAGTTTGCTGCAGGACTGGTGCTGGTCCCTCTGCTGAGGCACAGCCTCCACCCCAAGGGCTGTTCCAGATGCCGAGTAATTAGCCCAGTAAGTGTCAAAGTACACAGGAGATTGCCGGAGAAACAGCAATCCTGGACTTCCCTGCCTCACCTTCAGCCCTGAGGGGAGAGAGGCACTGGCTCCTTCCCCTTCTGCACTGCTCCAGCCCCAGAGGGTGCTGCAAACAGGTGTGAAAACAACTCAAACTGAAGCCCAGAGGTGTCAGGACGGAACTAAAGCTACTGAACCCCAGGGAGACTGTGGAGCTCTCAGTGAACAATCAGCAGCTGCAGGAGAAAGAGGAGAGGAGACAAATACAACAGCCCCACCTGCCACAGCCAGCAGCTGCCTGCAGTGTGGAGAAGTCTTTGGTTACTAGAAAGATGGCCTCAGATTTAATTGGAAATCTTTGAGCTTTACTTGATGGTCCAAAATTGTACAGCCACTTCATGGTGTGTTTCAGCCTCTACCAAGGAGCTCTGTGGAACAGAAGAACGTGGCTGGTGCTGCTGCAGCACCTTTGGTTTTCACACTGTTCCCATGTCCTTAGCAGCCCTGAGCCAGGAGCAGGGATCCCTGGAGCAGGAACACAGAGCTGCTGCTCCAGAGGAGTGTGGCTGTTAAAGCCAGTGCTAAATATTCCAGAGAAAGGGTCAAAAGAAACTCTAGCCTAGGGCAGAGTGCTCTGGTGTCACCCAGGGGTGCTGCTGCAGTGCAAGTTTAACACTTCCTACCTCAGGTTTCTCTCCCTCCCAGGACTGGTGACCTGGACTGTCACAGCTGTGGCTCTGCTGCCAGCCCTATGGAATGACACCCCACCTCCCACCATTGCTGTCACTTGACTCCACAACAGGCAACAGGAGACAAGGAGGTAGATAAAATATTCATTGACAAGAGAAAAGCACTTGTAGAAAACCACAGTGCAGTGGCCTTCTCCATGCTCTGCCCTTCCATGCACAGCTGCCATGGCTGGGAAGTTGGAACACCCTCAGGATTAAGTCAAACAGGGAATATCTGCCTCTGGGTCACTGCCTGCTTCTGTTTCCCCTCACTCAGAGCAAGGCAATGCTCCTGCATCAGTTCCAGAAGGGAAGCAGGGCTGATGCCCCCCACCAACACCCCCCAGCATGGGGGGATTGAACCTGCTGTGACTCCTGGTACCTGGGAGCTGCTGGAAACCAATCCAGGCACAAGCAGAAGCTCTAAGAACCGACCAGTACCAACACTACTCCTAGGGAAAGTAACCGTGGACAATTTGATCCCGATTCTCCTCCTTTGGGAGGAATTTTAACCTTGAACCGTAGGGACAAAACAGGGATGGGTGTCCCTAGCTCAGTGCTGCAGAGGCTCCACTGAACTCTTGGAGGAGCAGATCCTGAGAGCTGTGGGGAACCTGAGGGAGCAGCCTCTGCTCCCTCCCACTGCTCTGAGGGGTCCCTCTGCCCCCAGCAGCCCAGGAACCTCATCAGCCCGTGCCATTTGCTCTTTGGGGAGTCACCCAAGGCATTCCCAAGCTCTCTCCCAGGAGCCAGGGAGCATTGCAGCAGCCCTGGGTCCAGGTCTCTGCCTTCCCTCCCCCAGCCCAGGAGGGTCAGGGAGTGCCTGGAGGGAAGGAGGGTGGCCGGCTGACCTTTTGTTTGTTGTTTTGGTTTTAAAGTGCAGGATCATTACCAAAGCCACAGGAAGCCAGTCCTCCTCCTCTCCAGCACAAAACAGCAACGACAAGAGTGCTAAAAATTCCGGGCATTTCTCCAGCTGCTCAACAGGCCCTTCCAGGCTTGCCCAGTAACCTCATTGATCCTCGCCCTACAACTACCGCATTTAAATACCCCAAATAACCTAGAGTTTGTTACAAATCCCAATTTACAGAGTGTGCTGGACAGGAGTTGCACTGCCTGGTCCTGCTGCAGGGCAGCCCCTTGCCTGCCCAGGCTCACTGGTGCAGGTGGGCCCTGTCGTCGGGGCGCTTGATGTGGATCCTGCGCACGCGCTCGATGCGCTCCCGCTCCTCGTCCTCCTCCAGGTGGTGGGAGCGCCCTGCGGCCCCTCCCGTGGCTTCCAGGAGGGCATTGTCCGGCCCCCTGCCATCCTGGGATTCGTACAGCAGAATGTTCAGGGTCTCCTCGTAAATTCGGGCTTCTGGGAACTCCACCTGGCAGGCAAGGGAAGAGAAGGTCAATCCCTGCAGGCACCAGGGACTCCTGGTGTTGCAATTCCTTAATTTAAACCCAGCCACAGAAATCCTTTCAGGTACAATCGCTTCTATTCCATTTTTTGCTTCCAGCTTTTGAGTCCAACAACCAGTTGGGTTTTTACCAGAACCAGGCAGATCCCCCCCCGGGAAAGGGAAGAATACAGGGAAGGTGTGTACCATTGCTGGATCCCTCCTCACATGGGGGTGTACAACCATGGAATGGTTTGGGTTGGGACCTTAAAGACACTTTGGTTCCAACCCTAGAACATCTATTTGCAATTCCCAAACCCATTAAATGCACAAGTTTGTCCGAAGACAGAGCTGGACTGAGCATTATGGAATATCCCAACCGCCCAGTGCTACCTGCCCTGAGCAGGCAGCTCCTGCTGTACCCCCACGATGAGCTCCAGACCCTCCAGAGGTGCTAAACAACGATAAAGTGCCAGCCTGTTCAGCTGTCAGGGCTCCAGGCTGGAGCATTCCCAGTTTTCCTGTACCTTGGTCTGCTTTTTCTCTGTGGCATAGACGATGGAGGTGCAGCAGACCTCGGCGATCTTGCGGCCCTGCCCGTAGAAGGACCAGCAGCAGATCTCATCCCCAATGACGTCCTTGATGAACAGCACCCTCCCGTTGAACCTCAGGGACAGCTTGTCAAAGAGCTCGATGTTCTTCAGCATGTTGTCATCAGAGTTGCTGTGGGAATGGAGGCAGCAGCAGGAATTTACAGAGCACATGGGAAGAGTGGGAGCAGTGAGCATTGACAGCCCTGAGATCCCAGATTCCTGTGTCACAGAATCCCAGCTTGGTTAGGGTTGGAGGGATCCTTAAAGCCCATCCAGTGCCACCCTGTGCCATGGGCAGGGACACCTTCCACTAGCCCAGGCTGCTCCAAGCCCCATCCAGCCTTGGACACTTCCAGGGATGGGGCAAACCCAAGAAATTAATTCTTATTATTTCAGAACAACTGTCTAAGGCCATTTCACCCAGGTGCAAAATCCTATCAGCCAAATCAAACCATTCCTGAGCTCAGCACTCTGGATGGGCACATGTTATATCATGAAATAAGAGAAAGAAAACAAGGCCCCCAGTTTGATGATTTCACCACTCATTGAGCTTCCTGCATTCAACTACCACACTGCAATACATGGGAATGCAGACAGCACTTGGCCAGGAGCCTCTGCCAGCTGCACCTAAGGATTAGAGGAACTCCTCTGGCACAGAAATAGCACAGGCTCAGCCTTCCATGGATGGCAGCAGACTCACTTCTGACTCCAGCTTGAAATTAATTGGGAAATAATGGAGTGCCTGCCAACACCAATCTGTCATCAGGTCTGGGGGAAGAAAAATGAAACTTTTATAGTGGATTTTAGTCTATGAAAAACTTCCAACAATTCCAGCTGAAGTCACTTACCTGGTGTAGGAATATTTGTTGTTGCTTCTGTTATAGAGCAGCTTCACAGCTGGCTGTAAGAAACAAAGCACAGATGAGTTCCAGGGAGCACAGCCAGAGCTGAAATCTCAGCTCAGCCCACGGCCCCACAGAGAAGCTGCAATGACAAACTCCCAGTGGGATTTTGGTGGTCTTACTGCTGTTGCTGCAAATCTGTGATGCACAGGTTGGCAATGGGGCTGCAATCCCTCCTGACCCCTTCTGGAATAGATCCTCATCTATTCTTATCTTCTCTCTGTTCTATCAGCATCCCCTGCCATGTGCAGGGACACCTTCCACTATTCCAGGTTGCTCCAAGCCCTGGCCTTGGGCACTTCTAGGGATGGAGCAGCCACAGCTTCTCTGGGCACTCTGAGCCAGGGCCTCACCACCCTCTCAGGGAAGAATTTTTTCCTAATATCCCATTTAACACTGCCCTTCTCTAGCTTAAAGGCATCACCCCATCCCTCGTCCAGCTCTCCAGTTCTCTTGGAGCCCCTTGAGACACTGGAAGGAGCTCTGAGGTATCCCCAAAGCCTTCTCCTCTCCAGGCTGGACACCCCCAGCTCTCCCCATGGCACATCCCAGTCCCTCTCACCTTGTTGGAGGTTGCAATCAGCTTCTGCTCCTCCTTGGAGGAGGTGATCACCGGGACCTTGCAGAAGGGCTCGTATGCATCCTTGTTCTGTGGGAGCAAGAACCAAAGAGCAGCTGAGTGACAAGAGATCCCAGGGCACACCCACACTTCCTGGCAATGGTCTCTGCTGAGGGGGTCAGTATCCAGTCTGTCCCTGTGGTGGTTTCTGGGCTGTGGCTGGTCAGGCACCACTATTCTGGGAGCACCTGAGGTGTCCATTCCTGCTCTCCACCACTGAATGTCCTGTGCCCAGTTAAACAGCAGGATCACAAATGGGGCTTCTCTCAGACAGGACATCAGTGACAGTGGCATCAAACCCAAGGTGGGAACCTCAGAGCATAACAAAGAACACAACAGGACTCCCAGCAGCTCTGGGAAGAAGCTGCTTTTCCTAGATGTGACCAGATTCCAGCAGATGGCAACACAAACTATTCCAACTTCCATCCCAGCCTCCTAAATCACCCCATGAAGACCAGAAGAAAATCCTGCTCTGCCCAGATGCTGCTGCCCACCCCCAGCTGCCCCCTGAGCCCCATGCCCACCTGCAGGGCTGCCTGGCACTCATCCACCAGCCCCTGCACCAGGTAGTACTTGGCCTCAGCCAGCAGCTCCTCGATCTCCCGGCGGCTCTCGGGGAGCGGCACGGCCCCGTCCCGCAGGTAGTTCAGGATTGTCCCAAAGTGCTTCCCACAGCGGTCGATCAGGATCCAGCCTGGGGACACAGCAAGGCCACAGGAAGGACAAGCTGAGTTAAATGTGGTAAAAGGCCTTGCCAGAGCAATCTGGTGAAGGACATGATGGGAGTGTGAGGATGGAATGGGGAATGAGAGCAGAGCACGGCACAGCTGGAGCTTAGGATCAAGGTGGGAAGAAAATTGTGGAATGGTTTGGGTTGGAAGGGAACTTAAAAGATCATTCAGTCCCACCCCTGCCATGAGCAGGCACCTTCCACTAGCCCAGGCTGCTCCAAGCCCCATCCAACCTGGCCTTGGACTCTTCCAGGGATCCAGGACAGCCACAGCTTCTCTGGGCAACCGGTGCCAGGGGCTCCCCACCCTCACAGGGAAGGATTTCTTCCCAATATCACATCTAACCCTGCCCTCTGGCAGTGGGAAGCCATTCCCCCTTGTCTTGTCCCTCCGTGCCCTTGTCCAAAGTCCCTTTCCAGCTCTCCTGGAATCCCTCTAGGCACTGCAAAATGCTCCAAGGTCTCCCTGGAGCCTTCTGTTCTTCAAGAAAGAAAAGAGCTACAACCAAAGCTGTGAGTGCAGGATCCACATTTCACCTCTCGCTGCTGGGATCAGGCTGGACCCTGGAAAAGTCAGGCAGTGCTAAGGCTGGAGTTTCCCTGAGTGAACAGATGGCCACTCTCACAGGCTGAGGCTCAGGAATGCAGCGAGGAAACGCTTGTGGGGAAGGAGTCATATTTTGGACAAATAAGGAAAGTAGGTTAAAGCAGCCCCTGTGTGTTCTGCATGAATGGAATTACAAGGAAAAGTCTGAACATTTGGTTCAATCTGGAAAGGGAACATGGCCCTTTCTGAGGGAAAAGGAGACACTCTGCAGCAGCTCACTCCAGGCTTCCCAGCTCCCTCAATCCTGCTGTCCACAGACAACACGAAGTGTGCACCAAGTGTGATTTTACAAGCTGGAACAACAAACTAGAGACAGAAATGATGGAACAAAGGACTGATCCAAGCTAATGGCTAATCCAACTAGAGGGGAAAAAAAGCCCATTTGGCAGTGCAGAGTAGGGAAAGCAAGAAATCCCATTTTAGTGGGAGATTTGGGGGAAGGTGTCTCTGCCCATGACAGGGGTGGAACAAGGGGAGCTGTAAAGTCCTTTCTGGCCCAAACCATTCTGGGATTCTGTGATGAAGAGGAAGCACAAGCCATGGTAACAAACCAGGACCTCCATATTCCACAAATGCAGCTGCTTCCCAAGCTCACTGGAGCACACAGAAAGGTAAAGGGCCAGCTGAGAGCAGAATTACCATCCCCAAACTCTTCTGTGATTCCTCATAGGCTGCAAAAATCTCCTGCAACTTCATGTTTATAGATGATGAAACTGAAGCAGAATTGCTCATTTTCATGTGGGGATGAGAAAACACTTCAGTAGCATTGCAAAATCTGAGTGACCACTAAAAGAGTTTTAAAAACTCTTCTGCTCCCCCCCAAACAGCCCAAAGGAGATGAGTCACAGGGAAGTGACCCTGCTGCCACTTGGCCACAGCAGAGCCAACAAGTGGGCTGAAGTCTTTTAGAGCTATTTTTTAATTGCAGTGTTTCAAAAACATCCTGTGATCCATTTAGGAAGGGATACAGAATCATGGAATGGCTTGAGTTGGAAAGGAACTTAAAAGTTTGTCCAGTTCCAACCCCCTGCCATGGGCATGGCCACCTTCCACTGTCCCAGGTTGCTCCAAGCCCCATCCAACCTGGCCTTGGGCACTTCCAGGGATGGGGAAACCTCTCTGGGAATTCCATTCCAGCACCTCACCACCCTCACAGGGTGGATTTCTTCCCAATATCCCATCTATTCCTGCCCTCTGGCAATTTGAAGCCATCCCCACTTGTCCTGTCACTCCAGGCCCTTGCAAATAATCCTTTCCAATCTTTCTGTCATCTTCTTCAGGCCCTGGAAGCCACACTTGGGTCACTCCAGAGCCTTCCCTTCTCCAGGTGAACAATCCCAGCTCTCCCAGCCTTTCCTCCTAGCAGAGCTGCTCCATCCCTCTGCTCATCCTGGTGTCTCCTCTGGACTCTCCAGCAGCTCCAGGCTCTTGCTGTGCTGGGGCAGCTCTGCAGGTGGGGTCTCACCTGGGCAGAGGGGCAGAACCCTCCCTCCCCTCACTGCCTTTGTCCATGGACACCTCACACCTTTAGGAAATTCATCTTTGTCTAACAGGAATTCTCAGGGACAGGATCCAAACACTCCAGCTAAAACCAGACATTTTCCAACCAAGCCGTGGCAGGTGAAACAGGAGCCTGACACTGGACACTGCCTGAGGCTCCACTCTCTTATCAGCAGCTGGACCAGGAACAGCTCCCCCATCAACAGCAACAGGGAGACAGGAAAAAAAAAGAGAATTGGAAACGGGTGGATGCACCTGGAAAACTCACATCCTTCTCCCTGCTCATTATCATCCAAAGAAAATGTTCCAAATATGCTGATTTGCACAGTTCATCAATAATTTCTAAGCTGAAAACAATTATTGCCACCCACAGCCAGAGAAACCCAGATTTTCTCCTGCAGCCTGAGGAGCAGCAGGTTGGAATTGTTCAGCTGGGGGGAGGAGCTGGGATCTGAACCCCAGACACAGAGCAGGACCCCCTGTGCCACATTCCAGACTGGTTAAACCCAACTCCTTCCACTTGCTCCTCAAGCCTGGCTTCTTTTGCTAAGAAACATTTTATTTGGTGCCAGGTTTTGGGTGTGAGGAGGATTTTGAAGAATTCCAGATAAGAAATGTTTCCTTTAGCAGCCCCAGTGCTATTGTCCCAGTTTCCAGGCAAGGGGAGATAAAGCAAGAACTGCTGCAATGGGAGTGTCTGTGTTACAACATACAGGAAGTATCAAATTCCTCTTAAAACACAAACTGGTTCCATGGAACAATCTCACACAGACACTGTGGGAGTCACAGCAAAACAAACTTGGGATTTTACATCCCAAACATGGTATTTTAGGGGGAGAAACTCCAGTTATCCTCAGATTTGGGCTGCAAAGAGCACCTGCACTTAGAGGACCTCTGAGCCCTGCAAATGGGATGTCCCAGCTCTCCTGTACCTGCCCAAGACGCTGGGATCATGCCAGGGTGAGCTTCCAAAATGAATTTGGAATTTCCAATCCATTTCCAACCATGGGAAGTCTGGAATTATCAAATTCAGCGAAGCAGCTTCAGGGAGGGACAGGAAGATCCACCTCAAGTTTAGCAAAGGCAGAGGGTTCACAACATTTTCACAACATTTCCACTCCTCCCAGTGTTCCCAGTCAAGGTGTTGATTCCCATTTGGCAGTGTTTGTTTTTTTTCCCCAAATTTGATCCAGTGTTGATTCTCATTTTTTTCAAAATCTGAACCACAGACTGACTTTTTTTAATGCAACCTCCATGGTCTGTATCCAGGATAAGTATCCCAGAGCCCCTTTGATCCAGAGCCTCAAATCACAGCATCCACATTCCTGCTTTATCCTGGTCTGGGATTACACCTGGGAACAACACAGCTTTGTTTTCCCCAGCTTAAATATAAAGACTTCTGGCTAAATCAGGAATATTCAGCTAATCAGGCTGTATTTTTTATTTTTTTTCTTCAAATCTACTTCCTTTTATATCAGGAAAGCTTACCATAAATCTCTAAACAGACTATTTTAAAGCACTCAATACTCAGTCCAACCCACCTCACCCTGTACTGTATTTTCTCTATTTTCACCAAATTCAAACAAAATTTTCAAATAATAATTAACTAATCCCAAAGGAAGTGTTTGAACCTCCAGGCTCAGTTTTGCAGAGGCTGTTGTTAAAGACAAAGGTCCTCAAATATTGTTATGAGTAAAATATCAGAGTGAAAATAAAGCTGAGCTTCAAATTAAACTCTGGCACAACCAAAACACGGGAACATGGAGATAAAATTCCAAATTTTCTGAAAATTCTGTAACTGGTTCTGTTTGAGGGAAATCAGCTGTCAGCCCCACAAGAAAATTGTTTCATTAAAAAAAAAATCAGCTTTTAACTCATTAATACCTATGTTCAGAGCATGTTTTGTATTTTATTTATAAGCAAAGAGACAAGAGGAGGGAATGGCATTCTGAGCTTCCAAGGGGACACACATGTCCCAACTCAAGGATTCCTAATCACTATCCCCACCTTCTCCCACGGGCTTCAGAACTTTAGTGCCAATATTCTGAAAGGAAAAGATGCTGCAGGTGCCTGACAGGAGCTTTGGCACTTCTTAGTTCTGCTGTTCAGGAAACCACTCAGGTCATCCTTGTCTTTTGTTGCACATTTTTCCCAGCTGTATAATCATGGAATCATGGAACAACAGCATGGTTTGGGTTGGGAGAGACCTTGAACATTATTTAATTCACTTCTTGCCATGAGCAGGGACACTTTGCACTATCCCAGGTTGCTCCAAGCTCTGTCCAACCTGGCCTGGGACACTTGCAGGGACAGAACAGCCACAGCTTCTCTGGGCACCCTGTGCCAGGGCCTCAGCACCCACACATGGAAAGATTTCTTCCCAATATCCAATCCAAACCTATTCTCTTGTCCTGCCACTCCAGGACCTTATAAACATTCCTGTGGCTCCTTCAGGTACTGAAAGGCCACAATTAGATCACCCCAAACCCACAATCCCAACTCTCCCTTGCAGGAGAGATCCTCCATCCATCCAACCCTACAAACAGAAACTCCTCTGAGCTTTGCAGGACCTCTGTGCCTTTCCCTGCCCAGTAAGGACACAGAGGGCACCGGGAGCACCCCGATCTTACCTTCACTGTCTGTGAGCACCTCCATACGCCCGCTGAACATGGCCTTGAGCATGGTGTCCTGCTTGGTCAGGGTCTGCATGGTGGTGTAGTACAGGGCCCCCCCCACGTTCAGCTTCACGTACTTGGAGCTGGGGCTGCTCCCCTTGAAGGACGTCGTGCGTGTCGCGGCCGCCGGCACTGCTGAGCTCACCACGCTCTCTCCCGACATCTCTTCCTGCAAGGAAAGGGGCTCCCAGCTCAGGAGAGCAGCTCCCAGCTCAGGAGAGCAGCTCCCAGCTCAAGGAAGGACTTCCCAGCTCAAGGAAGGAGTTCCTAGTTCAAGAGTGCAATTCCCAGCTCAAGGGAGCAGCTTCCAGCTCAAGGGAGCAGCTCCCAGCTCAAAAAGGGCAGTTTCTAATTCAAGAGTGCAATTCCCAGCTCAAGGAAGCAGCTCCCAGCTCAAGGAAGCAGCTCCCAGCTCAAAAAGGGCAGTTTCTAACTCAAGAGTGCAATTCCCAGCTCAAGGAAGGAGCTCCCAGCTCAAGGAAGCAGCTCCCACCCTGGCAGTATGACACCCCTGTTCCCACTGGGTGTTTCACACCTCATCTCCTCCCGGCTCTTTGTGTGAAGTTCTCAAGTGTTTTAAATGTTTCAATGTCAAGAACTGAAGGACATTTCTGGACACAGCCCCCATTTTTTTTTCCCTGGGAGAAACCCTGGGAATGCTGAGCAGGGTTTGCACTGCAAAGCCAATGCTTTACCACAGTAACTGCTTTCATTTCTTACACAACTCCGACAGCTTAAAGCTCTTACTCCATCAATAATCTGGGACGGAATTGGGCAATTCCCAACACACACAAGTGGAGCAGATGATTCCTGTGAGTCCAAATGCAGAAATCAACAGATTCCCAAGTGCTAAAACGCATAATACCCACAGGTTTTCAAGGCTTTTTCCCTTGGAGCAAACAGGGAGAGCACACACGAGCTTTTCCTGCTCTTCCCTGCCCTCCCACACTGCTCAGAGCACCAAAATCCAGCCGGACAGAGCAGCCTCCAGCCACATTCCTGTCACCTCCCTGTCACCGAGTCACACTGGCACAGGCACACGGTGGCTCAGCACCACAAATGCCCCCAGAGCCGCTAAATCCTTAATCGCTGGGAGCCTCTGTAGTTCTGTTTTCCTTCAGGATGGAATAGGGTGGGATAATTAACCCCCTCCATCCCTGCTCCTCCAGCACTCACGGCTCTAGGATGAGCTGAATCCAAGGATTTTTGCTTCACTGCCATGCAGCTCCCAAAGGAGCCGGAGTCGTGCGGCACAGGAGAGGGAGAAGAAGGGGCAGAAATGGCCTAGAGAGGATCCCATCATCACAGACAGCAACCTCAGCTCATGTTCCAGCTCCCTCTGCTACTGGAACACCAGGAACGAGATTCCAGAGGGGATCGATCCTACAGCGCACCCCAAATCCCAGCCCTGCCCTCCCCAAACTACCGGCCCAGGCCAAGGGGCTCGCTGGGCACCGGACACGCACAAACTAGAGCGCGACCACCGCGGCTCCCGGGGCTCAGACTCCCCCCGGGACCCCTCTCTCCGACCTCGGGGCTGGATCAAGCCCCTAGCCCTTCCCTGGAGACTGCCACTCCTCAACACCCGCACCCTCTTGGGGGCCGGACCCCCAAAATCTCAGCCCAGCCCCTCCCTATGACAGCGACCGCCGCACGCATCCCCGGGCAGGACCGATACCCGCACTCCGCCTCTCTCAGTCACCCTCCCATGGCCCAAAGCCGCCCTAAGCCCCCGACTCAGAGTCCCTCAGCCCCCCCTCCGAGGGCCAGAGCCCTCTCTGAGCCCCCTCAGCTTCCCCATACCCGCTAAGGCCCGGAGCCCCTCTCAGTCCCCTCCCCATTCTCCCGTTCCCCATCAGCCCCCCGCCCCTCCAGCCCCTCCTCCCCCGCGATGGCCGGAGCTCACCCCCGCCCTCCAGGCCCGTCCCCCGGTGCCCCGAGCCGCCCTTTCCCCGCTCACCATGAACAGCGCCGCAGCCCCTCGGACCGAGCGAGCGGGAGCGCCGGGCGGGAACTTCCGCCCCTCGCTCGCTTCCGGCCCCGCCCGGGTGCTCCCCCAAACTCGTCCGATGGCCCGCGGGGCCCCCCTTGCTGTTGACGCGCTGCGCTGCCGCTTCACGGGCTGGACTGGGTCTGGCCCGGCCCGCTTCAACCCGGCTCGGCCCGACCTTCCCGATATCAGCGGGACGTAGGGCTGGCTGTTCTCCCTGCGCCGAGCCGGTGAGCACACCGGCGGAACGGCAGCGGCGGGGCGGGTTGGCGGCCGGACGGGGAGCGCGGACACGGCTGCGAGGAGGGGGCTGCGGCCGCGGCCTGGGCGGGGGAACCGGGAAGGACCGGGCGGTTCCGGGGCCGCTCGGCCCGGCCCGGCCGGCCCGGTGTCTGCCGGGACGAGGGTGAGCGCCTGGGGGCTGCGGGGAGGCTGCTGGGGCCCGGCGGGGTGAGCGGCGCGGTGAGAGCCTGGGCCCGGGGGGGTGCAACGGGGGATGCGGGGGCTGGGAGAGGGGCTGAGGGGGCTCTGTGGCTGCTTCTGCTGGAGCCTTGGGTGAGTCCTGGGAGCTGCAGCCCAGCTCGAGGGCTGTGGGTGGCTCTCAGAAGTGGCACCTGCTCCGGTCCTGGTTCGCTTTGTCCTTCCGTGCTGTCACACATGGAGTTATCCCTCCCCCCCAGCTGCCTGTGCTGGTGACCGCCGCCGAGCCGCGGTGCTGCTTCTCCTCCCACTTACCGCTTTCCTTACGGGTGCAGCGAGATGTAAATCGGGTCTAAAGGGCTCGGAACTGCATAGGGGAAGTCTAGACCCCCAAATGAGCCGCAGGGAATGTGCTTGTCCATGCAGGAGCTGCCCGAAGCCTCTGGATGAGGATCATGTGCGTGTGTAAATGAGCATCACATCCTTCCTTTGAAGAAGTGACCCCTCAGGTGAGTTCCTCGTTGCTATTTATAAAGCTCTGGTTGACCCTGGGTAATTTAGTTAGTGAATGGCAATAAATCAATGTCCCTTGTGCCCTTTGCCTCCTGTCCCTGGCTGGGGAGTTGTTCTTATCTGTTACCAAGGAAAGAACAGAGGCTGGAGAGGGGAAGTGGAGTGCAGGGAGTGGAGCACAGTGTCAAAACCACTGATTTGTTTATTTTTCCACTTAAAATCTCCCAGCCTGCAGCAGGCTGTGGGTTGTGCTGGAAGGATTCCCTGCCAGTGTTTTTGTGTCCCTGCTGCAGCCCCGTGACAGTCACTGGGGGCTTTTTTTATTCCCAGTTTTTTCTCTGCTGTCGGATTCTCCCCTCCCCTGCAGAGAGCTGAGAACTGCCCTTCTCTGGGTGTTTTTTCCACTCTGCTCTGGTTTTCCAGGTGTTTGCTGTGAGCATCCTTTGCTCCCTGAGAGGTTCCAGCCATGTTCAGTGCCAGCCAATCCTCCAGGGCCCAGTTCCTGGACAAGGCCCGGCAGGCGCGGGAGGAGCGGCGGGAGCTGAAGGAGAGGGAGAGAGCTGCAGTGCAGCTCCAGGCTCTGGTCAGGAGGTTCCTGTGTCGATGCCGCCTGCAGACGGAGATCAGGTCTGTGGGATTCATGGGATCATGGGATGGGTTGGTTTGGAAGGGACCTTAAAGCTCATCTCATTCCAAACTTCTCCCATGGGCTGCTTGCTCCAGCCTGGTCTTGGACACATCCAGGGATGAGGCAGCCACAACTTTTTCTACCCTACAGGGAAGGATTTCTTCCCAATATCCCATCTAACCCTGTCCTGTGTCAGTTTGAGTCCATTCCCCGTTTTCCTGTCATTCCAGACCTTTGTAAAAAGTTCCTCTCCATCTTTAATGTGGGCCCCTTCAGGGAAGGAATTCCTTGCTTTCTGATTGCTTTTTAACTCCACGTTTTTCCCTGTTTGTTAGGAAAGAGGTGGAGGATTTCTTTGGGACAAATGAATGTGGCTCAAATAAAAGAAGTGCCCTGTCTGTGTTCAGAATTGCCAGGAAGCTGCTGTTTGTGTTCAATCCCAAGGAGGACAAGGAGGTGAGGACACTGCCCTAACATCCTGCTGTGGTTCTGGGGACAGGTTAAATGTTTCATTCTTTCCCCAGTGATCTTGGAGGTTCTTGCAATGTATTTTGTTTTCAGCGGTGTTGTGTCTGTCTCCTGGCCCTTCCTGAAGGGATCTGCCTGTAGGATTGAAACAGGAGAAGTCTTGAATTTTTCAGCAGTGGTTCTGTATTCGAGGCATCCTTTAATGGATTTTTTTTCCCGGTGAACGTGCCAGCTGCAGGAGCTGAGCAGTGCTTGGGGATTTTGGCACAGCCCAGTTCCCCAGGCAGGTACATTGGGACAGCTCCCAGAGATCTGTGCTGGCACAGGAAAGGCTGTTTGTACCCCCAGCAGCTTTTCTCATCAGGCCCTGAACTTATGGGTTCACAATGAAGCCCTGAAATGATGATCCCAGGAAGCTGTGAGGGCTGACTGGAAGGAAACCAGTTGCAAAATGGAAAGCTGTGTTCCAATGGCAGCAGCAGTGAGGGATTTTTTAATCTTTGTCCTGTGGAAATCTGTGCTCAAATGCAGTTTGCTGTATCCAAAAAAGCCCTGTTTTCCCAAGGAGGGAATTCTGCACAGCAGCAGCAGCATGATGTGTGTGCTCCCAGGGAAGGAGCCATCAGGATTCCTGTAGGGAATGTGCTGGGAACATTTGCTGATTTGAGGCACAGAGATCTTCCTCCCTCTGCTGAGCTGTTCCTTGTGCTTTTCCAGAACAGCATTTCCTGTAGTTAGAATTAATCCCATCTTTGGATTTTCCCAGAGGTTTGAAAAGCTGTGCCGTTGTATCCTGAACAGCATGGATGTGGAGAACGAGCCCAAGGTCAGCAGGGGGGTTGGTTTGGAGTGGGGAGGGCTTGGTGGTTGTTTTGAACTCTCTGTGTGGGGATTTATTTTGGTAATATTTAATTTTTAGATTTTAGAAGCCTTTGAGCAGTGTGGAGATTGCGCAGGGAAAGTCTGGACAAGTCCTTTAGTATTCCTGGGATATTTTTACTCTGTGCAGCCACAGGAGTTAAAGGACAGTTGGTTTTTGGGGTGGGTGATGTGCTTTGACAAGAGAATTTGTGGAGAGGAGAATCTTGGTCCCACTGCTGGGTTCAGTTCCCAAACTCTGCCCAGCAGTAGCACAAACCCTGATCCCTCTGTGCATCCCCCCTTGCTCAGGTGTGGTACGTGTCACTGGCACTCTCCAAGGACCTCACACTCCTCTGGATCAAACAGATCAAAGACATCCTGTGGTTCTGCTGTGAATTCCTCAAGCAGCTCAAGGTAAGGACTATTCTTGTGTTTTCTCTCCTTGCATTTGGCAGGTGGCATAAGGCTCAGTGGATTTGC